CCAACTCTGCCTTACATGTATTATATCCTATTCAGAAATCAATTGACTACACCAACATCAGTCCTGCATATAAACATTTTTTACTTCTGTAGCTGAAGCAAGGTCCTTCAAAGAAGCTTCTACTAATCCAAGATGGGCAGAGGCTATGAAGAATGAAATTGCAGCTTTGGAGGAGAACAAAACTTGGGAATTAGTACCTTTGCCTAAAGGAAAGATTCCTATTGGTTGAAAATGGGTATTCAAGGTGAAGTATAAAGCTAATGGAGACATTAAAAGGTTTAAAGTACGCTTGGTTGCCAAAGGATACAATCAGCAAGGAGGTCTTGACTACACTGAAACATTCTCCACAATAGTCAAAATAGCAACTGTGAGATCAGTGGTATCCATAGCTGCAACAGAAGGTTGGCACATCCACCAAATGGATGTGTACAATGCCTTTTTATAAGGTGATCTTCATGATGAACTTCATGATGAAGTATATATGCAACTACCTGAGGGCTTTGCAAGCCAGAGGGAGCATCTTGTATGCAGGCTTGTCAAATCCCTTTATGGATTGAAGCAGGCAAACAGGCAATGGAATGCTAAATTGACTGAAGCTCTATTGGCTCAGGGGTTCACTCAAAGCAGTCTGGATCATTCATTGTTTACTCAAAAATAGGATAACAACATTGTCGTCATCCTAGTATATGTGGATGACATGTTGATCACTGGGAAGGGTATAAAGTTGATAGAAGCTACCAAAAATCAACTGAACAAAACATTCAAAATGAAGGATCTTGGAAAGTTGAAATACTTTCTGGGAATTGAATTCAGCACATCCACCAAAGGTATTCTGCTGAACCAGAGAAAGTATGCACTAGAATTTATTGGTGATCTAGGATTAAGTGCTGTAAAACCTGTTTGGACTCCACTTGAATACAACCAGAAGTTCACTAGCAACGAACTGGATGATATTACAGGGGTGCAAGATGATGATGAATTAGAAGACAAAGGGAAATATCAGAGACTCATTGGGAAGCTATTGTACTTAACATTAAGTAGACTGGATATAGCCTTTGCTGTTCAAACTCTCAGTCAATTCATGCAGCAGCCTAAAAGAAGTCATTGGGAAGCAGCCATAAGAGTAGTAAGGTACATCAAGAGAGAACCTGGACATGGGATATTGATGAGCAGCAGAAAAGGGAATGTTTTGAGTGCCTATTGTGATGCTGATTGGGCATCATGTCCTAATACCAGGAAATCAGTCACTGGTTTTCTAGTTAAGTATAGAGACTCACTCATTTCCTAGAAATCCAAGAAGCAAAACACGGTATCAAGGAGTTCATCAGAAAATGAATACAGAAGCATGGCATGGATTGTAGCAGAATTGATATGGGTGGCTGGATTATTCAAGGAGCTAGGAGCAGATGTGAAGAAACAAATTGAGCTGTTTTGTGACAATAAGGCAGCACAACCAATTGCAACAAATCTAGTTTACCTCAGAGGACAAAGAATATAGAGATTGATTGTCACTTTATAAGAGAGAAGATTCAACAAGGATTAATCAAAACATGTCATGTTAGTTCTAAGGAGCAACAAGCAGACATTCTGACCAAGGCTCTTTAGATGTCACAGCATGAATATCTAGTATCCAAACTGTGAGTGCTCAACCTTTTTGCACCTACCAGTTTGAGGGGGAGTGATAAAATGGGAATAACCTGAGTTAGCTAACTATGGTTAAAGCTGGTGGCTACATTGTTGTTAGTAAGTAGTTAATTACTGTTAATAGCAGTCAGTAGTTTGGTTAGAGAATGACAGCTGTCATCTAGGTGTATTATTACAGTGTAAATGTATATTAACACAATGATGGTGGAATAGAAGAGCAGCGTTCATTTTACACATCCAGCTCCAGTTCTTCTTCTCTCATCTCTGCACTTCTACACCCTATCCTTCTGTTTAACCAAAAAATAGGAATTTCGGTCAAAGCCTATTTTTAGAAGTACTCGGGTTACTGATAATCAAGAAAATCAGTATTCTCGCAATAAGAAAGGAAATTAGAATATGAAATAGCAATGTAGTCAATAGAAAGCAAAAGAAAGTAATTGTATTCCAATAAAAATTAGAACGTGTCTGTACATATGATATATCTTTCCTTTTTATGGGAATCTACGAATATAACATCTTTCCTCTTTTATGACCGAATCATTATGAGCATTAATGACATGAATGAGACGCTATAATTGGTAATCGTAACTGCTCATGAAGATTCTGTAACGTTTGAGATCATTCACGCTCATTAATGGCTGATTCACGAATCTTTCCTTTTACTGTCTTGATTCATTCCGTTGGTACCTCTTCATGTAACTGTTTAATCTTGAACGACCATATCTTCTCCTCTCGTGGGTGATTTGCTCGTATCTGTTACGTCATGTGCCTCTTTTAATGCATTTTTCTAGCTGTCACTTTCTCGATGATCCACGTGTCTTGTCTTATCAGCCATTCACGTAAATCCACGTGTAATATTTATATTTACCAATACAGATAGTCCCCCCACTTGCCGAATATTCTGCAATTGAATATTTGGGAAGTGGTATGTATTTATGGCGGGAATTTTTGCCGACGTTTCCCATGTATCATTGTATCTTCTTCTGAACCAATGCGTCGTATGTCGCTTCCATTTAATGCATGTGACACGTGGTAGTCATATATTGGCTCTGCAACTCTTCAGCGGGCTTTAGGACTTTTTTACGGCTGCATCAATCACGAAGTGACAGTTTTCATAATGACGTTTCCATCATTACCTTTTTTACATGACGATTGCTTCTGCATATAAATACATCCTTTGCCTTTGTTTTCACGAAAAACTTTCTTCAGTGTTCTTTATTTGTAACTTATTCCTGTTCTTAGTACGTCCTACTTCTTCATACAACTATGTCTTCTTCAAATCCTGATCCTCGTAAAACTCTTATGATGGATGATCTTCCCCCTTCCTCTGCTCCTACCAGAAGTAGAAAAGGTGGCAGGTTATGCAGTTTAGGGTTTGTTTCTATCCGTAGTTCTTCTTCTCATCCCAGTATCACTCCTCCGTTGTCTTCTAGAACTAGGGCTTCTTCTTCACATAGATCTTCTGTTAGAAGTAGGGATTCTAGTGAACCACTTCGTGAACCCATTGTTGATGAGATCATTCCTGCTGAACTGTCCTTCTTTACTGATAGAGAATTGATTAGGAATCAAGTCACTTCCATGACTTCTCATGATCGGGCCGATGTTTACCCTTCCCAGATTACCGAGGGTTTGATTTCCATTTTGCGTAGAGACTATCATTGGAAATTTGATTTCCCAATTTTAGTTCCTAATGCAAATCAAAGAATCACCTCGTTCAAAGCTGGCTATTCTTTTGTGTATACATATCCTTTTACGTTGGGTTTTAGACCTCCCATTGACCCAGTCATCATAGAGTTTTGTTGTTTCTTCAATATTTGTTTAGGACAGATTCGTCCTATTGTATGGAGGGTCGTGGCATGCCTTAGATACTTGTCAAACTTGGGTGCTTTACCCTTTATCTTTTATCATCTGATTCATCTTTATTCCCCCAAGTTATTTCGTTCTGGGGTGTTTACTCTTGTGGCTAGGAGTAAGAGGGTTTTGGTTAGCCCTAAAGACGACAAAGATCGTGGCGGGTACGCCCAATCTGTTGGTTAGCCCTAAAGACGACAAAGATCGTGGCGGGTACGCCCAATTTGTTGCTGCTCCTACAAGTGGGTTAGTAGGTGAAGAAAACATGTCCTTCCCTGAAAAGTGAAACTTTGCACGTAAGTTTTTCTTCCAATCTTTTATTTATCTTCTCTTCTCTTTGTTTTTTTAAGAACTTGTACTCTCGTAAATGTTTTACTTTTTTTTTCAGCAACTATGGGAACTGTTGAGGAAATTTTAATTTCCGTGGTTGGGTAGAAAAATTATTAACAATTGCTCGAATGGAAGAAAGGACCTGGAAATACCTTTCTCACAGGTTCAAATGGAAAGCGAAGACTCACGGTATGGTTCTCTTCCACTTTCTACCTTGCTTTTGTACTTATTTGAGCACTTATTAACCCTTTTCTTTATTAGGGTTTCCCATTCGGGGTGTGAGTGCCGCATCAATTTCTGCTTCGAGACTCTCTATGTCAACGGCTCAAGAGATAATCTTGAGTTCCTCATCAAAAAGATAAACTGATAGAGCACCCAGTTCTGAGAGTGAAGAGGAGAGGGATGAAGGCGCGTTGGTTCGTAAGCCTCGAGTGAGGAGACGTATCATTTCAGATGATGAAACTACTCCTCCTCCCAGTTCTGTTCCCATGCACGAACCTGAAGGTGCCACCTTAGTGAGTTCTGATGATGAGATGCATGCTGCTTCCCGTGGTTCTACTGAACCGCTCTTTTCACGTGGGTTTGATGAAGACTTTGGCTTTGTTTATGAAGAAACGCCTCTTGCTTCTTTTCCCGTGTCTGTTCCAATCGATCCTCAGCTCCCCGCACCTATTGTTACTGCCACTGCTCCACCCGTGGCTATTTTAACTCCCTCAACTGTTCCTACTGTCACAACTTCTCATACTGAAGTTGGTTCCTCTAGTAGGGCAATGAAAAAAGTTACCATCGAGGTTCCTGAGGATGGTAATCTCTTGAAGAAATCTGGCCAAGCTGATGTATGGCTGAAACCATTGATTGGCCCAGTTGAGAAGTCAAAATTAGAGAGCCACAGTTCTTTGACGTGGATGAATGATATCTTACACTCTTCTTTAAAGGTATAAGTCTTAGCTTTTATTTTGTACGTGATTTCCTTTTCATTGGTATCACATTTTTCTTTTCTTTTTGTAGATCAACCTCATTGGCACAAAATGATGAAGAGGATTGTTCACACAGAGCAGTTAATGAATGATTATCACATCGAGGCAGACAACTGGAAAGAGCAGTTTGATGGCCTTCAACTTGAAAAAGAAATCTTAGAAGAAGAAAAGTGTACCTTGGAGCAATAGGTGAAAGTTATGGCAACAGAATTGGCAGTTGAGAGAGCCTCCTCTAATCAAGCGGGCAAAGAAAAAAACCTTTTTGAGTCTTCATTTGCTGAACAACTTTCTAAAGCCACTGAAGAGATTAGGGGTCTGAAGGAACTATTGAACCAGAAAGAAGTTTATGCCGGTGAGCTTGTTCAAACGCTCACCCAAGCTCAAGAAGACCTTCGAGTATCTTCTAACAGAGTTCAATTTTTAGAGAGTTCACTTGCTCCCTTACAGGCTTCTTATGATGTAGCCTTGGCTGAGAAGGAAGAGCTAGGAAATAAGATTGAGCATTGGGAAAGAGATTACGAAGCTCTTGAAGATAAGGCCGCTGTTGAAGTTAGTTGGGCTTTCTTGAACACACGCCATGGCACTTTAATGGAAGCAAGCCGAGAAGGCTTTGACTTAGCTACTGAGATTGCAAAGATCAAAGAAACTATTGAGAAGACCCAACAAAGTCAGAGCTTTTCTTCACCTGTGGCTGACATTTCCGAGGGTGATGAAGTTACTCCTGGTGAAGCTGTTGTTCAATCTCCTTCCGCTCAAGTTGTTCCTCCTGCTTCTGATGATACCATGCTTCATCCTACTGGTTCAAATTCTGCCCCACAGTGAAGGTTTGAAAAGTTTTAAGTGTTGTTTCGCTTTTTTTTATTGGTGGAATGTTTGGAAGTTTAACCCTGGTCCCATTTGGGGGTAATGTTTTTGAAAATCTTGCCCCTAGTCCATTTTGGGGTTTTTTGTATAAGACAATCAGGTTGGAACTAAGTTCATACTTACTTTTAACCAAGTTATTATAAAGTTTTTGTCTAACTCTTATAATACCTTTATTTTGAGTTTCTGTTCTACTCTCTTAGCGGTTTACCCTTGTCTTATATTTACAAGTTTGGGCTTTATTTTCCACCTATTTCAATGTTTGGGTTTTACCCTTTGTTATTTTAACTTCTGCATTTAAAAATGCTTCAATGCTTCGTGACTCTTTTGAATAAGCACGAATTATAAAAGAGGGCCCTTTTATATACGACACTTAATGAAGAAGACGTCTCAACTTTATAATGGTGTAAACATACGAAAGAAGAAATAGGAACACACAGTTTCTTTGAATAACTTTGAGGAAAGTTTTTATCATTTGAACTTTCAAATTATATAATACTTTACATGTATTTAAGTATCATCTATAACTCTTTCATAACTATTTTCTTTCCAACAGATTTGTAAAAAATTCAAGGGTATATCTTGCAACCCATGACTAAATACACACACGTTTCTTTGAATAACTTTGAGGAAAGTTTTGTATCATTCGAACTTTCAAATTATATAATACTTTACATGTATTTAAGTATCATCTATAACTCTTTCGTAACTGTTTTCTTTACAACAGATTTGTAAAACATTCAAGGGTATATCATGCAACCCATGACTAAATATTTCCTTTAACCTAAGCAATCGTAAGATTTTGAAATTCACATTTACGAGTGTATTCTTCACGAGTTTTTGAATCAGGCTTGCGTTTTTGGCTCGTGATTTTGCTCTGAACTTTCGACTTGTTGGGGTAGACGGCTTGACTTGAATTCTGACTTTTCCAGTCTTCTTTGCCTTCCTTATATATATAGTCCCCCAAGTGTTTGAGCTTTGAAGTTTGAAATCTCGAGCACTTGATTATTCTTTCCATGTGGTCCTTTTCCTGAAAAAGGAAAAATATACTGGACTCGGAGGTATATATAATTTAGATGATGACTGCTTAACCCTTTATATTTCCATCAGAATGGTTGTAACCCTAGACCGGGAATTATGTTACTTCTGTGTGTCTTTCAGGTCTAATATCATCATTTGGTGTGGGCTAGCTTTTTTCCTATCTTCTAAAATTGTTAGTATAATTTTAACAGTACAAAATAAAAATTGTAATTGAGCGATACCTGACCGTGGGTATTTCATTTGCTTAGAAATAGTACTTCTTCAAATGAACAGCATTCCAACTTGAGGATAGAAACCTTGCCATCCACGGTTTCTAACTCGTAGGCACCTTTTCCAACGATACCTCGAATTTTGTAAGGTCCTTCCCAATTTGGACTCAACTTTCCTGCATTGACTGCTTTCGTTGATTGAAAAACTTTCTTGAGTACAAAGTCCCCAATCTTGAAGTACCTAAGATGAGCTTTCCAATTGTAATATCGCTCAATTATCTGCTTATGCGCAGCCATCCTTATCAAGGGTGTTTCTCTCCATTCTTCAAGCAAATCGAGATTTCATTGTATCTCCTCCTCATTTGACTCTTCGGTTACTTGGATGTATCTCGTACTTGGTTCACCTATTTCAACCAGAATTAAGGGTTCAGCACCGTGCACAAGTGAAAATGGTGTCTCTCCCGTACTTGTTTTTGCCGTTGTTCGGTAAGCCCTCAAGACTCCAGGTAACACTTCTGGACACTTACCTTTTGACTCCTCTAGCCTTTTCTTCAAGTTATTAATAATAACTTTGTTTGTTGATTCATCTTGTCCATTGACCACAGGATGATAAGGTGTTGAAGTAATCCTTTTAATTTGCCAACTCTAAAAGAATTATGTGATTTTCGCACCTATGAACTGCGGGCCGTTATCACACACGATTTCTTTTGGAACCCCAAACCGACGTATGATGTTTCGCCAAATGAAGTCCCTGACTTATTTTTCTTGCACATGTTTAAAGGCACCTGCTTCTACCCACTTAGTAAAATAATCAGTGAGTACTAATAAAAATTGTACCTTTCCTTTGGCTTGTGGTAATGGACCCACGATATCCATCCCCACTTCATAAAAGGCCATGGTGCAACAACCGGATGTAATAACTCTGCGATTTTACCGAGGATCTTCCTCCTGCGTGATTTCTACAATGTCCTTCATGTACTTCTCTCATCACATACTCTGTTTGAGAAGGTCCGATTCACCTTGCTAAAGGACCACCGAACATCTTTCGATATAAATTTCCTCAATCCAAACAATAACGGGTAGCTTTTCGTCGAAGTGCCTGAGCCTTTTTCTTATCTTCAGGTAGAATTTCGTACTGCAAAAAATTAACGATCTCGTTTCTCCAATCCCAGGTTAAATTATTGAATTTTACCTCGTTTTTATCTTGGTCGAGTGCCGAATGAAACAAATGTATTACGGAAGCATTTTCTTCATTTGTTACTTTTGCAGCGGATGCAAGATTAGCCAACGCGTCTGCTTTGACATTTTCTTCCCTGGGTATCTGCACGATTTTCCAAGATTGGAATTGCATGATCAAATCTCGTGCCTTTTCCAAATATTGCTGCATCCTCGCCTCTCTAGCTATATAAGTCCCCTGCATTTGATTAGCTACGAGTCGCTTTTGATTATAACCCGCTCTATTCCGAGCTCCCGTGCCAATTCTAAACCTGCAATCACAGCTTCATATTCTGCTTCATTATTAGTAATAGGATGGCACTTTATGGCTTGACTTATAGTTTATCCCATAAGTGGGATTAGAACAATGCCTAAGCCCGCTCCTTTAACATTCGAGGAGCCATCGGTAAACAGGGTCCAAGTGCCTAGATTAGACCCGTTAAATACATGCATTTCTTTTTCTGCTTCTATTACCATCCCTGGGCTAAAGTATGCCACAAAATCTGCTAAAACCTGTGATTTTATCGCAGTTCTAGGTTGATATGTGATGTCATATTCACTTAGTTCTATGGCCCACTTGGCTAATCTACCTGATAACTCTTGCTTATGCAATATATTTTGTAAGGGGTAGGCGGTCACTACAGAAATAGGGTGACATTGAAAATAAGGCCTTAATTTTCTATATGCCATAATTAGCGCTACAGCAAGTTTTTCTAAATGAGGATATCGAGTTTCAACATCTAGTAAGGACTTTCTAACATAATAAATTGGAGATTGTTTACCTTTATCTTCACGAACTAACACTGCACTTACCGCCATTTCTGACACAGCGAGATAGATGAGTAGCCTTTCACCGCCCTTTGGTTAAGCCAGCAACGGTGGGTTTGACAAGTATGTTTTCAGATTTTTGAGCGCTTGTTGGCATTCCTCAGTCCATTCAAATTGGCCTTGATTTTTCAATACTGAGAAGAACTTAAAGCTTTTCTCCGAGGATTTAGAAATAAATCATCCCAATGCTGCTATCCTACCTGTCAACCCTTGCACTTCTTTTTTGCTCGTGAGTATATCTGGTATTTCTTCAATGGCTTTAATCTGCACTAGATTTACTTCAATTCCTCGGTTAGAAACTAGGAAACCTAAAAACTTACCTGAAGACACGCCAAATGCACACTTTTCCGGATTTAGCTTTATATTGAATTTGCGTAGAATTTGAAAAGTATGTGACAAATATTGGATGTGATCCCCCCTGTGCTGACTTGACTAACATGTCATCAATGTACACTTCCATGGTTTTTTCCAGATGTTCTTGAAACATATTTGTTACTAACCTTTGGTACATGGCCCCAGCATTCTTTAGACCGAAGGGCATGACTTTATAGTAGTAAGTCCCCCTGTCTGTAATGAAAGAAGTTTTTTCCTCATCTGAAGGATCCATTTTTATCTGATTATATCCTGAATAAGCATCTAAAAAACTCAATAATTCGTGCCCTGCAGTAGCATCAATTAGTTGATCTATGTAAGGTAAAGGAAAAGAATCTTTCGGGCAAGCTTTATTTAAGCCAGTATAGTCTACGCAAACTCGCCACTTACCATTCTTTTTGGGTACCACTACAGTATTAGCTAACCAATTTGGATATTTTACCTCACGGATAGACCCGATTTTTTAAAGCTTTTGTACCTCATCCTGAATCACCTGGTTTTTGAAGGCTCCTTGCTTAATTTTCTTCTGTTTGACAAGTGGATACGTTGGATCTTCATTCAGCTTATGGGCCATCACCTCCGGTGGTATACCTGTCATATCTGAATGCGACCAGGCAAAGCAATCTGCGTTAGCTTTTAAAAATTCAATTAACTTACTTTTCATCTCTGGGCTCAGGTTGGTTCCGATGTAAACTTTTCTGTTCGGTCAATGTATAAACAGCACCACCGCTTCAAGTTCCTCAATTGTTGTTTTGATGTTTTCTTTCTCTTCTGGCTCTTGAATAGTATCAGGCCTTGAGTCTACATCCGTTTGTCCACTTCGATTGAGGTTTGAGTTGTTAAACCCTTAACCGAATTCTGTAATTGCTATTTCACATCCGCAATGTCAGTTTGTATGCTTGAATCCGCCACTGAATTGATACTTCTAGAAGCCAGCTGATCACCACGGATTTGCCTAATTTCCCATTATGAAGGGAACTTAATAACTTAATGTAAAGTTGATGTAACAACATCCATCTCGTGAATCCAAGGTCTGCCGAGGATAATATTGTACGCCATATCCATATCTATTACTTGAAATTTCGTATCTTTAACTACTCCTTCTGTGAATGTGGTGAGCAGTATATCCCCTTTTATGACAACGCCTGAATTGTCAAATCCAGATAAGGTACGTTCTTTGGGTACCAATTTATCATCAGCGTGCATCTCGTTTACCACTCTTAAAAGAATGATATTTACAGAGCTACCTGGATTAATCAAAATTTGTTTCACATTAGTATCATATAGAAGAAAAGATATTACCAGTGCATCATTGTGTGGGATCAACGCGCCATCTGCATCGGCATCATCAAATGTTGTACTGTCCTTTTCCAAAACTTGGCGAACTCGCTTCCCGTGGGTGACTGTGATTTTTGACACCTTTTTTGCAGCCGTATATGTCACGCCATTGACCTCCTCCCCTCCGGTTATGACATTAACTGTTCTTTTTGGTGACGGAGGTTTTGGTGGCTCCTGTCTATTCTTCATATATGCTTGCTTACCCTTCTCACTAAACAAATAGGTTAAGTAGCCTTGTTTTAATAAGTGCTCTACTTCACCTTGTAGCAATCTGCTATCTGTTGTTTTGTGACCGTGATAATTATGAAACTCGTACCAGAAATCAGGGTTTCTTCTATTTGGGTCCGACCTCATTTCCTTTCGCCACCGCACCTTATCTCCCATGCTTCTTAAAACAGCTACCAACTCAGATGTGCTAACATTGAAACGGTAGCCACCAATCTTCGCTTTTGAACTTCTGTCGTTGTCCAGCGTAACTCGCTTGTGTCGCTCCGTTCCATACAAACCCGAATCTCTGTCCCTTGATCTAGAATCGTACCTCGGGTTCTCTTGTTTTGAACGTGAATCCCTTCCTGCTCGTCCCATGTAAGGTTCGTACCTGTTCTTACCGGACCTTTTTTCAGTTTTTGGTCGCCTCAAACTTACTCTTTTATCTCCCCGGGACCGAGTGATAGTATCTTCTTCTATCCGCAGCTTCGTGCTATACCTATTGTAAACATCATTCCAAGTTGTTGCAGGAAATTCTCGTAAGCTTTCTTTGAGTCTCCTCGTGGCTTATGAGCTTTTTTCATTTAGATTACTTGCAAATTCCATAGCCGCTCAATTGTCAGGTACACGTGGTAACACCATTCTTTCACGCTGGAATTTATCTACGAATTCCCTGAGTAGCTCCGTATCTCCTTGTTTTATTTTGAAGATGTCTTCCGTCCTCCTTTCAACTTTTTGAGCTCCCGAGTGTGCTTTTATAAATGAATCTGCAAGCTCAGTAAAAGAATCAATGGAATTTTCAGGTAAAAGAGAATACCATGTTAGTGCTCCCTTTGTGAGTGTTTCACCGAATTTTTTGACCAGCACTAATTCAATCTCTTGCTTGGTCAAGTCGTTGCCCTTCACGTCAGTTGTAAATGCAGTTACATGATCTCATGGATCGATTGTCCCATCATACTTTGGGATATCGGGCATCTTAAACTTTTGTGGAATAGGCAAAGGAGCAGCACTTGGCTTCCAGAGTTGTTAAGAATACTTATCCATATCTACTCCTTTGATTATACGTGGAACACCAGGTATCTACTCTATGCGATCGTTCATCTCCTTGAGCTGTTTCTGCAAAGTTAGTACTAAACTTTGTAAATCAAAATTAATTGCGATACCTGACCCTCCATTGCGAGATTCGCTGGGAGTTCCTCCGCTGCCCGAATTAGTGAGTCCTGAGTGTGGATTGTCTATGGTTCCGGTGTTGTTTGGAGGCGGAGTTGGTGGTACAGTTGGTAATCTACTAATGAAAGCTTGAAGAGCATTGTTCACATGTTCTGCAATTAGTTGCTTCAATGCATCATCAACATTTTGATCGCCCCCTTGTTGATCATTCACATGTGATGTTGATCTGTCAGGTGAGTTGTCTCGGGAGTGTCGAGGAGAATTTTTAGGTGAAGGGATTGGGGTGGCATTCTCTTGTTGATTCTGTTGGTTCAGCTGGTCTTGTTGGTTTTGTAGGTTTTGTTGGTTATTGTCGTTAGCGTCGACATGATTTTTTGACAGAAAAATGAATTTGGAAAGTGAAAAGATTGCCAGATTCCCGGTAACGGAACCAACTTGTTAACCAAAAAATAGGAATTTCGGTCAAAGCCTGTTTTTAGAAGTACTCGGGTTATTGATAATCAAGAAAATTAGTATTTTGGCTATAAGAAAGGAAATTAGAATATGAAATAGCAATATAGTCAATAGAAAGTAATTGTATCTAATAAAAATCAGAACGTGTCTGTACAAATGATATCTCTTTCTTTTTATAGGAACCTACGAATATAACGTCTTTCCTCTTTTATGACCGAATCATTATGAGCATTAATGACATTAATGAGACGCTATAATTGGTAATCGTAACTGTTCGTGAAGATTATGTAACGTTTGAGATCATTCACGCTCATTAATGGCTGATTCACGCATCTTTCCTTTACTGTCTTGATTCATTCCGCCGGCACCTTTTCATGTAACTGTTTAAACTTGAACGACTATATCTTCTCCTCTCGTGGGTGATTTGCTCGTATCTGTTACGTCACGTGCCTCTTTTAATGCATTTCTCCGGCTGTCACTTTCTCGATGATCCACGTGTCTTGTCTTATCAGCCATTCACATAAATTCACGTGTAATATTTTTTTTTTTCACCAATACACCTTCATTGATGAATGCTCAACCTAAATTGTTAACTTCATTAACTCGATCCACTGATTTTGACAACGAGATGAGAAATATGATTCTATGTTATTCATGATGGAAGGTTGCTCATCCTGTCTGAACAGAACTCTCCCAAACTAAAATGATGTTTACAGCGCGAAGGAAACCTTGCAGACGTATTAGTAAAATATGGAAGCGACAATCTAAGATGACTTCCATATTTGTATCTCCTTCCTTTTCTATCTAAAACCTATTATATTAAAGCTTTACAACTTTGGAAAGCTTAATCTGCTTTGGTTTTCCCTCCCTCATGTTTCCCTGATAAGTATTAGGCTTACCTGATTGGTAATGTAATTGGGTTTCTTATGCACTCCCACTGCATGCATATATGCTCTGAATTTAGCTCCAAGCAAGTTATACTTTTTATATTATTTTGGAACAAGGAGTGGTTTTTGCTTGAGTTGTAAACTTTATGCTTTTATTGTCTGTTTCATGGGATTAGTTTTGGAGTTTTAAGTGATGGTCCACCTTGGTTGGTATCTGATTCACGACACAGCACTGATTGACACAAGCCTAATTTTCATTTTCCTAATACAAATATAAAACAAACACAGGAAAATCTTCTACGTAATAACTTCAGGTTCGAAGTATGTCCCACGGAACGCGCGTATTTGCATTTTGGCCTTTTGTCTTATCTCTCATTTTCTGTACCTCTTTGCTTGATATTCTTGCTTGAACTTGGTTTGTCATGATGTCCGTTTGCCTTTGTCGAAGGTGGATCCACGATTTAAATTTGATGAGTTCAAGTTTTAAGATTTTCAACATTACACTCACTCATGTACTATGCTATTTACTACTTACTATTTTGTATTTTACTATGTTCTTTTCACGACAAAGTGAGCTGGCTTGAATTTTTACAATAGGCAGATACTCATCCAAACGAGATACTTAACAGTTCATCAGCAAGTGGCATCATACACACAGTACTCTCATTGAAGTTCATTGTCAATAGAGCAATTGCTTCTTTGGATATTTAAGGCATTGCAAAAAGTCTCATGGAATATAAAGGTTTTGAAGATACAGTGCAACTCCCATTAATTTGATTTTTGATTGTTTATATCAATTGAACGAATTATTGAGTACTCTGGTGGTTGAGACTTGATAGGACAGCTGCTATTTGAAACAATCTTAGCCGGATTTATTCCACTTTATTTTTATTTGTTTCTCTTTCTTTTTATTTTTGGTTTTATAATTTCGTCAATCTGTAGAACTTGCCTTATTCGATAAGGTTTTAAATCTTGAGTTCAAGTTTATACACCTTTTCCATGAACAAGCTATACTTTAAATTAAAACTAACTATATATCTGTAGCCATTAGGAGTTGAGTTGTAATATGAAAATGATTATAATTATCTATCTATATTATTGTATACGGTAGAAATCGGGGTTACCCGATTTCATTCTTTGGTCGAGATAGGGATGTCACGTCAAAGAGCTAGGACGTCTAGTCCGGACCGAGGTAGACATTGATTGAGACCAGAAAGAGACAGACTTCGAGTGACATCGTCATAGCTTGATGACGGAAAAGGCGAGATATCCGCGATTGGTCGAGGATCGTGGCGTGAATCTCGGAACGCATCATTCTACAGCGGTTAATTAGATGTTAATATGATTTCCTACTATAATTAGAAGTGTACCTTATTTAGGACTCCTCTATTATATAAAGAGGGATCACATTCATTTGTAATCATCATTATTCACTGATAAGAAATTATACGCTCATTACTATCTTGCTATTTCACTTACTGTTCATCAAAGTTGCTTTATCATTTACTGTTCATACTATCCTACCTCGAGACTATCCGAAATAGAGGTCGAGACCTGGCTAGCATACTGGTTTGATTTATTTTACTCTCTAATTTATTCGTTTATTTTCTTGCTTATCAATTGGTGTTGGGCGAAATCACATATCCTTAAAACCACAATATAAGTTCAATTTGTTATCCGAATTTGAGGGTAAACAGTTTGGCGCCCACTGTGGGGCTAAGGATAATAGTGATTTTTCGGTGTTGATTCCGATAGCACACATTATTTTACGCTTGTTCTTGTCAAGTATCTTTGCTCTCAAGTTAAAACATGTCAAACTCACAAAATGCACCAATACATGGTGAAGATGGTCTCGGGTTTCACGGGGAAAACAACAATGTAATTGCTCCAGGAGCCGAGGTGCCATAGGCTAATCTCGGGGGAGCACCGGTTGCCAATCCAGTCGATGTTAGTTCACACGTTGTTTTAAATGCGGACCTAGGGGCGGACCCCGAAGAGAGTGTACGCAGAGAAGGCCAATCTGGTGGCCAAGGTACACAGGGCAGAGGAGACGGAGGAGTTAGTCTCCAGGTGATATTCGAGATGCTACAGGCTCAACATGCTGCTATTGCTCAGTTACAAAATCAGCATAGGACTCCGAGTGGGGTCGAGCCAGAAATCACTCGCCGTACCGAGCCAATGCCAGAAAGGTCGAATGGTAATGAATCGGGGACTGATCCTGCAATAATGAAAATGCTCGAGGAGATCACCAAAAGAATTGAGTCAAGAGAGAAGAAAATCGAAGCTAATGATAAAAAAGTGGAAACATACAACTCCCGAATTGATCAGATACCGGGGGCACCACTAATATTGAAAGGGATGGATTCGAAGAAATTTGTACAAAAGCCGTTCCCTTCGAGTGCAGCTCCGAAACCCATTCCAAAGAAGTTTTGTATGCCGGACATACCTAAATACAATGGGACCACCGATCCCGACGAGCATGTCACCTCCTACACATGTGCCATCAAGGGTAACGGTTTGGAAGAAGATGAGACCGAATCTGTTTTATTGAAGAAATTCGGGGAAACCCTATCGAAGGGAGCAATGATTTGGTACCACAATCTATTTCTACCACCAAATTCCATCGACTCGTTCGCCATGTTGTCAGACTCTTTCGTAAAGGCACATGTTGGAGCCATAAATGTTGTGACAAGGAAATCGGACCTTTTCAAAGTAAGACGGAGGGATAATGTAATGTTGAGGGAGTTTGTATCCCGATTTCAAATGGAACGCATGGAATTGCCACAGTCACAGTTAATTTGGCCGTTCAAGCTTTCACTCAGGGATTGAATAAAGGAAGTTTGATAGCATCACGTCACCCGAAGTAAA